CCGGTTCAGTCCATTGTGTGCTGTTTAGAAGATGTTTTCTACGAGTCGTTTTCATTGGTGGAGCCAACCGGCAAGCGCTTTCTGGTTGCCTTGGACGTTAGTGGCTCGATGGAATCGCCAATCAGGGGTTCTCCGCTTCAGTGTAACTTGGCGGCGGCGGCAATGTGCATGTTGCATGTGCGATCGGAACCGCAGTGTGATGTTGTTTGTTTTTCTGATGAACTGTCTCCGATCAGCCTTACGAAGAGCATGAAGTTGGAAGAGGTGCTGGACGTCGTTAAAGACATACCCATGGGAGCCACTGACTGCGCTTTGCCGATGCTGTGGGCAACCAAGCACGAAAAGAAGTACGACGTGTTCATCGTCTACACAGACAACGATACCTGGTTCGGTCAGATGCATCCCTTCGAAGCGTTGTTGCGCTACCGAGAAAAGAGTGGCATTCTGAACGCGAAGTTGATCGTCGTCGGTATGACAGCCACTGACTTCACGATCGCTGATCCGAATGATGGTGGAATGCTCGACGTTGTCGGATTCGACACGGCTGCTCCGGAAATCATGAGCCAGTTCATCCTCGAAAGAATATGAGGCACAGTAAAATGTTTTGCGAAATTTAATTTTTTATCCATATCCCTAGTTTGTGCAAAGTTTTTTCTTTGCTCCGATATTCATCCGCGAGAATCTGCTATTTCAGTAGCTGTACCGAAGTATAAATGTCTTAATTACTTGTTCTTTCTAATCACGATGAACGAATAATTTATATTATAAAATGATTCCGGATTAAATGTTTTTTATATATGGGCTATTCATTACGTTAAGTGAAGGATGCTACCAGTAGTATCACCTGCAAAACCTTTAGGTCACGAAGCAGCAATGTTTATGGCTTATGGTGTTTGTTGGATGAGAGCTAATTGCCTATTCTGTTTTGCATTTTATATTGAGCTGATTTTCAGATATCTAGTGACTTTTTAATCGATTTTCTTGAAGCTGAAACAGCAGCACTAAGTGCAATTTAGTTAAATAATTCGAGCTGTTCTGTCCTCTAGCCCTGAGTCTGATATTTCAGAATATTCACATTCAGACAAATGGTGGTAGACGGAGTGATGAAAACGTTCCATATGTGTTCTTTGAAAATATATCGCACTGTGGAGGACAGATTTTCTCTAAAAAGAAAATTTATTAGAAAATTGTTTCGGAATTTGCAACTGTTTAAAGTTACTAATACATATCCGCTTACAAAACTTTCACTAGATCAGAGCACCTGCCTCAGCAGCGCAATCAGTGAATAGCAGTACAACACGACGTTTGCAGAACAAAATGGAGAACAACTATGTTCAAACAAAATAAAACATCTGAATTTTGAAGAAAACAAGAATGCTCATGTTATGGCGTTGAACTTGAGTCGTTGCTTTGCCAATAAGGTTCAGCGCCAAGAGAGCCTGATGCGTGATGATCAAAATTCGATAGTTCAAAGCAGTAGAAGAATCAGTACTATGCATGAAATTTCGAGACTCGTAGTGGCAAATACCTGAAACTTAACTTGTGGAAAGAGGTTTCTCGACTGAACGTAAAGTTTACAGTCATTTTCTTGTGAAAACTGCATTTTTATGCTTTTTATTTTTCCTACTGTTTTATCACAGCCAAGCTTGGTTTCCGCGTTCAGTTGGGGACTTTACCTGAATCGAAAATTGCCGAAAAACATTCATTCGCAGAAGCAAACGTCATGAATTAGGGTTGAGTTTCTACCTTATCTGACTCAATAGATTTGCATGAGTAGTACTCATAAAGTTGCACTCAGACAAATAGATATGTAAATATAATTTAACTAAAATGGATATTGCTTCACAACGCATACCCTTTCCAACAAGTGTGTCAGCAACGCGAAACAGACTTATCAAATAAAACCAGCTTAGGTATTCTGCCTATTATACGTCGAAGAACTTTTTCAGTCGGCCGAAATCTGGTGATTGCAAGAGTATATTGTATATGAACCCATGCTTTAGGCTGTTATGCAAAAGCATAGGTCGAATATTGTCTTATAAAACACCACTGAACTCCGCCGTTGTCGGTCTCAAGCACGGAGGGTTGGAGACCGTGGCAAGTCTACGTAAAATTCAGCCACCCGGAATGACGCCATCGAAAATTATACAGGCTCGGTCGTCGCCCGGGTTACCAAGGGCCATGCAGGCTGCTCGGGGACTGAGGCAGACTGCAGAAAGTCGGTGATCAGAACCTGCTCGTTGCCTTCAGCCAGCCGGGGGTTGAAGATAGGCGGAACGGCGACGAAGATACCAAACAGCAACGGAGTCGTTACCCATTGTGAACGGCGGAGGCAGACATCTCGATGCCATTATACCACATCAGGAAAGGCTCCAGGAGAACGACTCCACCAGTGGGAGCTTTCAGTCGGAAACTGAAATATATCCTCACTCAGAGGGAAAGAACAAGGGTCAGTTGATGAGGCCAGAAAGTACTAATTCGACATTGGACTCTCGTCAACGAAGCGCCAAGAATCTGGAATTCTGAACCTCTATGAGTGGAAGCTATTCTACTCAGGTGTCGACATTACGACGCGCGCTCAGGCCGGTTTTGGTATTCTGGTTGAAGAAAACTCAGTTGATGCAATCACTGAATGGAAGTCTGTCAGCGGAAGGATAGCAATCCTCCAACAGAAGCCAAAAATAGGCAAAAGCACTGACTGCTGCAGGTCCATGCGCTCAATTTGGAGGGAGAATATGATACCTTCCTTGAGGAAATGCAATGTACTTTGTCCAAAGGGCCGAATACAGAGTCCTTCATACCCATGGGCGATTCTAATGTATATTTCGGAGTAGTCGCTCAAAATTGGAACGGCGTGATTGGAGCAAACGGCCCTAATGACCTTAACAATATCGGAAGAAAGTTGTTGCGGCTTTGTGCAAACAACGGATAGTGCATTATGAACAGTTTCCTCAAGCATCTAAGAGTGCATCAGTATACCTGGTACCGGGAGGCTTGTGCACAGAAGTCGATGATCCATTTGATAATCGTATCGTCTGATCTAAGACGCTCAGTAATGGATGTTCGTGTTAAAAGAGGCGCAGAGCTAATCAGCCGATCAGCACCTTGTTGTTGGCACGCTGCGCTGTAAGAAATGGAGTACCATACGAAGATCTGGTAGCAGAAGCAACCGGAGAATCAAATGGCAAACATCTTCTTCGGTGGACACGAGAGCGAAGTTTGCAAAGAACATCGCACGAGGGCTTGAATAGATCCCGGTGATGACAACTGATGTTGAAACCGAGTGGCAGCTGTTTAAGAGAGGCCTACTCGAGGCTGCCGCCGA